CGCCAAAAAGTATGCGATGCATTTTATTTCAACTCCTTCCTTGTTTTTTTTATGCTGCTGCCCATCAGGCATCAGGATCCTGGACAACTGGGCCGCAAAAGTTTAAATAAATGTTTGATGGAATGCACAATTTGCCTGGCAACCCCAAAAGCTTGCTTAAATGTTAATCACCGGACCCCTGCGAAGCCACCGAAAAAGTTCGAGTGTCCTTTTTGGACGCCTTTATTTTTTGTTGTTGACTTTTTGCATTGCAGCTGCCGCCACATCCGCTGGCCAATGCCAATTCCTTCGTACAATTAAACTAATTTCCGTCGCTGGCAGGAGACAACTTATTTTGCATCGACAATAAGTTGTCCCCAACTGTCCTCTGCCTGCACATGTCAATCGTTGGGGGCCATCGATTTCATTTCGCGACGAGTTCACCAGCTGCCACTCTGGCCTGGTACTGCTCCTGATGGTTCACCTCCTCCTGCTCCTGCTCCAGCTCCTTTTGCTCCAGCTCCTCCTGCTCCAGCTCATCCTACTCATCAGTTTCTTATTTACAAAAGAAATCATGCAATTTGCATTTGTCTCTTTGCAAGCTGCTGATGCTGATGTTTTGCGCTGTTTTGCTTTTGCCTGATTTTGTTTTATTTCGCCTTCGTTCCATTTTGTTGAGATGTCAAGTACAGGGATGTGAAAAGGTATAGTGGAACTATCCTTAAATATATTCTAAAATAATTTCTTTAAATTAAGGTATTCTAGGATTCTAAAAAACTAAAGTTTAAGGTACTTTTTATACCAGAAAAAAAGTTGTAAAATAATTTATAATTATCTGAAACTCTAGGAAAACAAGTAGATTCTGGGCCAAGTTGTTTAATTTAATACAGACAAATTAAGAGAAGCAAAAAACATATTCAACAATAAGTGCTGTTGAAAACGTGCTTAAAAAAATGCAACTCCCGAGTAGGAAACCCTGACAGAACGATCAGCTGGAAACATTACTGATGAGGTACTTCACCAGATCCAAAGATATATAATTGGAATATTGATTTATGAACAAGTTAAGACCTCAATTTATTATTGTATATTACCATCTCATTATAAATTAATTTCCCAATCGATTATGGACACTGTACCCTTGTAGCTTGGTCAACTGTCAGGGCATCAGCTGATTTGCATCGAAACGAAGCAAAAGCCACCAACAGTCAAATTGCCAAGCGCTGCGAGGATTAATTCATTACAAAAACCCGTTCAGCACAAGAAATAATAACAACAATCAGTAGAGCGGATACCGAGAGGGAATCAGGAACCAGGACCAGGACCAGGCCCTAAGCGATCCAAACCGATTTCATCCTCATTTTTTTGCTGTTCCACGCTTTGTTCCTGTCTGTCCTCTTAATGCCACCGAAAACTCATTTGAATTTAGTTTTCATTTAATTTAATTTAATTCGCTTTTGGCCGAGAGCTTCGCTTGACTTTCGGTTTGGTTTTCCTTCATTACCCTTTCGGTTGGGATTCCGTTCCGTTCCTTGGCATCCAGTGAGCTGCGGCATGATGATGTTGCCTGATTTTCATTAGTTTTTTCCATATAAGTTTCAAATCGATAACGAGCATTCGTCGAAATCATATACATATATGAGTGGAGAGTCTCCAGAGTGGCCAGTAGAGTACTAGCTGGACTTGGGCTGCCGCAACTGGTGAGTCTGGCATGCGCAATGGCCACCAGGCAGCCTCATCATCATCATCATCATCTTCATCCTCGTCATCGTCATCGCATCAGCACGCTTAGCCCACGGGCTGCTGCTTAGTTCGAGAGCTTTGAGAGCAGCCCATCGTTTGGGCCACGTTAAGAAAATCAAGCCAAGTCAGGTCGGGCTGAGCGGCTTGTGAGTTATGTAAAGCGGCGTTGCTATGACATAAATTGTTTGCTTTTGTCAGGCTCAACAGGAGCGAGTATGAAGACCACCAGGCAGGCGGGTTCAATAAGGGGGTTTACATCACCTAAAGGCTGAAGAAATATCTCACAGATGAGGCAGGGAACCCAGGACCAGGCTCTTGGTAAATAATTAAAAATCAATTTAATCCTAATGTCTTAATATGGTTTGGGAAAAGTACATCTTAGCTTGGAAGTTGCTCGAACTATTTATTTAGTGATTTTTAAACAGCATTTCTAAAGCCTTTTACAAAAAACAAGAACAATTGTTCATTAAATTTTAAAAATATATAATATTTACATAAAGAAAATATGTTAAAACAGATGGAGTATAGTTTTTAGATTATGTATCTTACTATATTGTATTAGTAAAAATGTCTTTGGAGTACAGAGTTGCAAATCAAGGAGACCAAGAAATAAAAGTACAAAAAACATCTATTGTTCATTACATATATGTAATTATTTAAACAAAACCTTATTAATCCTAAAAGACATGTTTTTATAACTATTTTTCTACAACAATTTATGATCAAAGAAAGCTGCACAACTGGTAATTCCCTCCCAGAACCCAGACTTCCCAAGTATTCCTTATAATTTCCTAGAAACCAACTCAATTGCCTTTATCCGGGTCTTTTGTCAACTCAAGTCTAGCAGCAGACAAATTTAGCAAAATTTTAAGCAGGACCGGAATGATAAATTAGCATACGTTTAGAGGGCACCAAACCCCGAAAGCCAACCCGAACGATGGCCAAATGCAAACAAGCCAAGTTTAACCCTTTTGTGGCCCTGGCCAAAGACGGGCGTCTTCATCGAGATAATTAAAATGCATAATTATAACGAAAATGCGACAACATTTTGCCCTGGCAGCAGCAGCAGCAGCAACAGCAACAGCAAATTACGACAAATGCCGACAACGCATTTAGAAATGCAAATCAATCAGGGAAGGAGTTCAGAGATCCGAGGACCGAGTCCTGTCTCAAGTAGGCAGACCCAAGAGTCCGAGAGGCATTATCATTTGGATACGCTTTTGTGTGTGGATGGGCACCAAAAAATCAACTTCTAATTAGCATAAAATTTCATTCGACAAAAGTTTATTGAGTTTTGCATTAATTGTGCGTCCCGTTTTTGTTGGTGGGACGAATAACCCTTTAAGATCTCTGATGGGAGTCGGGGGGAAGTCCTGGTTCTGGTTCTGGTCCGTAAGGTGCGTAGACAATTAATCTTGAAATTGGGCAATATTTGACTTTTGTAGTCCTGCTGTCCTGTTGCCTGCTCTTCCTCTCTCTGCCTTCCTTTCCTCACATTTTTAATGGGCAAATTTGAATTGCTAATATGCGGTGGTGGACGGGAATGGGAAATCAGACGGTTTTTTGGGGGGTTTCCATGTTGACATATCGAGCCATATAGCATAATGAACGCTTTTTGCCCACAGTTTTGCATATTTTTTACCTCCTCCCACGGCCTTCTTTTATGCTGCCCTATTTTTATTAATTTCTTCTCCCCCTCCAATGGCCATTCTAATTATTGTTAGATCGCCTATCGTTTGACCACCATTTTTATGGACTTTTTTAATTGAAAAATCAAATCGAAATGGATTTAGAAAAATTGAAAATACCAAAATGATGCGCAGATAAGAGAAATTGCTAATATCTATGGATTTTAATGGCTTTAATGGTGGCAGCCTTTTGTGCAACGTGTCCGAAAAACAGATTGCACTGAAATTTATTCACTTAGAAAGCAGTCAATTACGGAGGGGGCGGGAGGGAAATGTTACTAATGAGAAAATTACATTTTGCATGCTCTTAGTCTGCCTTCCAGAATTTATTTCAAGCCATGAAGTACCTGCCCTTCGCCCAGCAAACTAATTGCAGGCAAACAAAATTGACACACAGCTCGTGAGGGAGGGGACTGAAAGTGGGGTCAGAAGTGCAGCTATGATGCGGAATATATTTATAAAAAAAGCTAAAATAGTTGGACTTAAGGAATATCTAAAAATTAAATTTTTTGTTAATTATTTGAGATGAAAACATGATTATTAAATAGCCTAAAGGGAGACAATAGGGAGTAAGAATGGCTTGATATATTGATACATCAAACGGAGTGCAATATTTTAATCCATTAACAATCCTTTAACATTGCAATATCTGTATTATCTCTTTAATAATGGTACAAGTTCTTAAGCTTAGTTTCAACTCTTTTAAAGAATTTTAAATAACAATCATGGACCATGTTTTAATTATATTTACTATTTTATAGCTAAATGCGATAGTGTTCAATATTATTCATTTAGATATATTAAACTTTACGATACCAAGGATATCTAGTGGATGAGTTCTATATTCATTCCTAATATATATAAATACATCGCTATAAAACCCTCGCCATAGCTAGAAATAAGTCACACTCGCACACACTGGCTATGTGGCAGGATCACAGGAAGCCAGGTCCTGGCCGGGGCGCAATCTAATTGCATACTTTCGGGCGCATAACTTTGCACTAAAATTAACCTCTAACCTATTTTACGCTGCTTCCTGCCAGCGGCCCATATAATGAAGGGCATCCTTGCTGGTCCTCCTCCACGCTGCGGATGCAAATGAAGAGCTCCACGAAGATGCCAAAGGACCCAGTGTCCTCAGTTGGGAAAAGGAAGCGACCGCCAAAGCGCGTGAAACCTGGCTACTTTTCGCGAACGTGGGAACCCCCAGGTTGGAGGTCAAGGAGGCAGGTAAGTGAGTCCTGTTGCAGCAGCAGCACCACCATCACCACCACCATCGTCATCATCACCATCATCGCCATCAGTAGCAGGAGCAGCAGCTCGTCCTTAATTGCACGAATTTCATTTTGTGTAAATGAACAGCAATTTGAATTGGAGGTCACCACCGAAGAAAGTGCAGGTGAGCGCCTAGGTGGCTGAACTTGGCAGGTAACTGAGATGGTTTGTGGGTACAACTAACAAGCATAGAAGGTGTTGAGAGAGAGCTACTTTATACGTTATAATAAACGTGCTTAAATAAATTCCCAAATTCATCTAGTAATCTATGGAATTTCTAACGAAATTTCTAAGTAATCCTTGCTTTTAAAATCCGTAATCTTACTTCAAAGACTGCCCTTCAATTCAGTTTCAACTTCAACCTGAAACTAGTAAGATAAAAATAATCACAGCTCAGGTAAGGCAGTACATTTATTTTTTCTCCAACTTTTTTTTGCAGATAATATTGTTTCTAGATATTCAAAGGACAGCTCTCTCTTCCCATTTGCAAACATTTGAAGAAATCAAAATGTTACTATCACCTCAAAGCTCAGATGATCAAAGAATATATAATAATGGCAGTCCTGGTTGTTTTGCAAACAGAACCTTGAAGCTATTTAGTCCCAAATCCAAATTGGAGAGTGTTTTAAAACCAAACATAGTTAAGATTACCGACAAAAGCATATTGCTAGACAAGATAAAGAACTCTCAAGGAAAACCAGGTCTATGTTACGCACACAAAGTCCAAAAGCTGCAGTACTTTGGTAGGAAGAAGGCAAATTCACCTCGTTCTGCCGAAAAGTCACGAAATGCGAAGGAAGCCAAGGATATATTGGATGAGGATTTTCCAACTCTAACAATTGATGATGATGATGATGCCGATCTTACACCAAGAAATAGAGTTGAGCATTTAACATCACAGAATAGTTATGAGACTGCAACTCAAAATGATGATGATTTTGATATTGATCTTGAAAGCAGTGGTGACTTATGTATGTGGCATAGTGTTCAAGGAGAGGTAACACTAAGCATGGACTTAAAGCTGAACAATGAACAATCATGCGATCAAAGCTTGGACGAATATCTTTATTTGGATAATGAAACAACAGTGGATGCAACCAGTAAATGGAAGGATTTGAATGGCTTGAAGGAAAAACAGGACAATGGTTCATCCCAAGACACCGAGTTAATAAGATATGACACAAAAACCTTTAGATCACAAGAAACATCGACAAATGATTTATTTCAATTTCGAAAATTATCTGTTTTTGCTGCCACAATTCTGAAAAAGTGTCACGAACTGGAAGAAATGCAATTTAATTCCTCTGGATCGAGTTCCGAAGACATCTTCTGTATGGGTAAAAATCTTACCCAGCCTCGTCTTCGAACTATACCCGAAGAGACTGTCCAAGAAGATGCCATGCAAATGTCTCAGGATTGTTCTGATAAAAATTTGTGTGTCTTTAAAGACAAAGGAAAGTCAGAGACAAAGGATTTGTTACACCATCATGACTTAAACCCAAATTCTATGTGGACTTGGATCATCTCACCAATCATTGGAATTTTGGTTTTCATTGTGGGAATAATATATATACGCTTTCAAGTTCGTCCTATTGAGCAGCCCTTATGGCGGCAATATCTTGATATTATTATCAATTTCATATATTTTTATAAATAGTTTTGCAGTTTGCATTTGTTAAATTGAATATATATTTTTAAATTTAAATTTATCAAGTGTTTTACTGCCAAGGAGAAGCACGTTAGTTCTCCCTAATAACTTTAAAGTAGAAATATGTATATACTTGACATCGTTAAGACCCCCTTTCTTCCGAGGCCAGTAATTGACATAATTTTCAGAGTAATTATGACAATATTCAAGGTTCTAATTTCTAGGCCCTGCCAGTATTATTCTATGCAATGACAAATTTTAATTTGCTCACACAAAATGCATTATCATGCGCGTTTGACAGGATAAAAGGGTCACTGTGTGTGTGTGTGTGTGAGAGAGAGCCTGAGTGTGTGAGCCAAGTAAGGCAAATACGTGATTTGAATTTTAATATTTGCTCATTGAAAATAGCAAACACAGCTTGTGGCAGTTGCTGGAAACTATGTCAGGTCAGGTTGTGACATGAAATGGAAAATATGCATAATTGGCAAGTTGATTAGCCAATTGGTTGGGTTAATTGCAATGAAGTTAAATTTTGTGGATAGGAAATAAACAAAAGGCGTTAGCTTGTATATTTGTAGATTATTTAAGCACCTTAGGAGATATCTTGGAATTTATTAAATGTGATTTTGGTGATCAATCCCTAAGGCTGTAGTCTTTCAATGGGAACTTTTTTTAATAAACCAATAAATTTATAAAAATTAATTACTTGTTCTGAAATATATACTTAAGTGACACCTGAAATTTTTAGAAATGTTTTGGCATCAACCCTTGGAATATCCTGTCGTGCAACCCTATATCTCTCTCCAGAGTCTTCCTTTGCTGCTGCTTAACAATCCAAGCTTGTCCTCTCATACCACAGAATATTTTTAATTTATTACGTCTGTCGATGATTTTTCTACTACTTTTATGGCGATTTAAGCCACACATTTTTTTTATTTTGCTTTTGGCCCAGTCATCCCCCTTTTTACACAAACACATGCGAGTCGAATACGAAACTCGCGAAATTCGTAATTTTGCATTTTTATACAAATTCCGCGAGCTTGTTCTTATTTTTATTTTTGGCTCAACTGGAGGAGTGGCAAAAAGTGACAGAGAGAGCACATGAGTCAGAAAGAGAGGGAGACAGGGAGAAGTGAGAGCAGCAGGAGCATTGTTTTCCTTAATTAATGTTTAATCAGCAGGACTCGAACAAACGGCCAGCGTCCGTGGCTGCTGACCAAAGCAACGAACCACATGCGATAATGGTCAAAATAATAAAAATGAACAGCTGAGCATCATCCAGACCCACGGATACCCAGGGATACCCACCGAATAAAATTGCGAATGGCAGAGGATGGGAGTGTGTGTGGCACTCGTTGGGGTTTGGTTTGGTTTTTAACGCTCGGGTGTGCGGCTTAAGGTGGCGCTGGCGATGGCGATGGCGACTGCGACTGCGACGTCCTCCTGCAGCCCAACTTCTTCGTGGGCATCGTTTTTTACCAATTTCCAGTGAACCGAAACCCGCGCGTTGTTTTCGAACCAGCCACCCACCAAACCAGTCACACACACACACATGCACACAACCAACTCACAGAATATCCTTCGAGAGGAACAGGAAGAAAAGGCTACTGAGAGAAGACGAGACTTGGAATACTCTTTCTGTTCAATGAGTATACTTAAAAAAGACAAAATTGATTTTTTTGATATATTTTGAAATAAATAGCCTATTTAGTTTTGAGACATTTTCCTATAGATATTATATTTTTCAAATATTTGTATATTCTATTATATTACTATACCCTTACAGGGTATTATAACTTTAGTCAAAAGCTTGTAATGCATTGAAGGAGTTATTTCCGTCCCTATATCTCAAATATATTCCTGATTAACCTATCTATCTAATCGTCTTTCACAGAAAATAAAAGTTTAATGTTTTATTTAATGTTTAATGTTTTGAAAATTTTATAAGGGTGTTGCATCGTTAAAATGTTCAAACAACAATTTTCTAAATTAAGTTAGCAGATTTAGTAACCTGTATAGAAAAGCTTTCCAAACTAAAATTAATGATTTTTTATTTATAAGGAAAGGTCTTAAATTTGATTTATCAAAAAATAGTCCTGTCATTAATAAATATTGTTTCAAAGAATGCAAATATTTTAAACTTAGTTAATATCAATTTCCGATTCAACTGCAATCTGCAAGGGGAAAGATCTAAGCTCTTTCTTAGCAACTAAAACCCTCTTGTACATTACAGGCAAAGCGTGGAAAAGCAAAAGTGACACAGGTCACACATGAGCTAGAAAAACTTTTTATTTCGGTAAAAGAGAACGTGAAGTTCTATATAGATATGTATCTGAAAACAACTCTCTCTCAAGTACATTGCAGGCAAAGCGTCAAAAAAGAGAGCAAGAGAAAATAGAGAAACCAAAATCACGGAAACCCTTATTTATTGCACTTACCCAAAATAATTGTAAACTCCTCTTAAATATAATACAACCCTCTCAAAGAGTATTTAAAATGGGAAGAAAAAATTGTAGAGTGGGGATTCAACGTTTCCCGTGTGCAATGCAAAAACGTAAATGAAAACAAATTCGCGGCCAAGAAAAAATTAACAAAACACAAAACAAACTTTTGGGCGCATGTGAAGGCAGCAGGATGAGTAGGACCCCCGAATGGATATATGTATATGTATAAGTTTATATAGAGTAAGGGGAGAGCCAAGGGGGGCACTGTCGCTGCACATTTTGACCAACGTGCACGTACCCATAATCAGTCCAAAAGGGGTAGCTGGGTGAGTCCACCCTCTGCAAGTCGTCTCCGGGGGCAGTTGGGTGGCGACCATTTGGTCAAGCGACAGAAACCGAAACAGGAAAAAAATGTATGAGAAAGTTGCTCGCTGAATTTACGCGAAAATAAAGGAATTTCGCGTGGGGGGAAGTTTGGGGGCTGAAGTTTTTAGCGCATGGCAATGCAAAAAATCATTGACCGTGGTGAGGGTAAGCAGCTTCAATTGCTGGAGGACCATAGAATGGGTAGCGAAGGTAGATCCTGTCCAGACGACAACCAAACAGGGGTTTCTGTACCATCACCCTTTTGGGGTGGGACAAATGGAACCTGGAGCGTTGGTCAATTGCAAGCCAAGTTTTGACTTACAGAAGGTGTGTGGAGGAATATCCTGGGTTCTATCTGGTAAGGCTTAGGAATTGTGGATTAGAGGATCCTTCCTGGATATTAAGATAATTTTCTTGAATTTACTAAAGATAAAATAATAAACTGACTAATGGTAAGTATACATTGTAAGTATACATTGTAAGTATACATTGTAAGTATACATTGTAAGTATACATTGTGAATATATATTTGCTTGACTATCTTTCCGACTTTCAGAGTCTCCAGCCCACCTACAATCTTTAAAAAAACCTATCCCAGAATCAATAATCGATATGTGCAAGGCATGTTTGTTAGCCAAATGAGTGGAATGCAGGCGAAAAGCCTTTTCCGAACTGAAAAGCCTCTATATATATTCGTCTGCATACCTGGATCAACAATTTTGCTATGCGGCTGAAATTCTAATTTACTTAAATTACATTTTATTCCATTCAATAACTTGGAATGACTTTTGAATACTCACACACAGAGACGTAGGCGAAACACGTAACCGAAAACTTACATGCACAAAATGCCAAAACGAGAGAGAGAGAGAGAGAGAGAAACCGGGAACTTTTGCGACGTAATGAAAACCTCCTAAATGTATGCAATGAAATGCATTTGCAGGCAAAAGCCACCCAACCAGAAAGCCACCCCACATCACCATCACCACCACCACCCCTAAAAACACGACTGCAACTTGTACTAATAATAATGCAAATGTCTGCCTGTCATTTCTGTTCATTTACTTAAAGTTCCTTCGGACCCGCACCACCGCAACGCATTTCGCCGCCCCTGAAATGAAAGGACTGAGCTTGAGAGAGAGAGAGAGTGGAGGTCCTGGCGTCAGAACTTAACTACGCATACTAATACACGCCTAGGCAAAGCCATCTCACTCATGCCATCTCCCTACCTACCAGTACTCCATCGCCCGGTCCTCCTTCATTTGTATAGCCGAAAATGCACACCAGACTTTTTGGGTCCTTTAACTGAATTAACTTGTACGGCATGGCCACCCCAGGATACCCAAACCGAGCACGAGCACTGAGCCTGGGACAAGCCAGTGCCCCGTGCCCCATGCCGGCAACACTAACCAACTATTGTGCGTCACTCCACCAAGGAGACGGAGACGGAGACGTAGACATGGCCAAGAGAAGTGAGCAAGGAGCAGGGAGCAGGGAGCAGGAGCAAGGAGCAGAAGCAAGGAGCAGAGGCAGGGAGCAAGGAGCAGGGAGCAAAGACAGCGACGAGGGAAAATCCTAGCCCAAGCTACGTTCTCATAACATTTTCGTTTGTAAATTTTGAATTTTCGTAATTCCAAATGAGAATGCAAGGCCCAGGCAGGAGGCTACCCACCCACCAACTTCCCCCTCGGAAAAACCCTCCCCTTTTCTAAACCCATTCCCCCATTCACCCCGCACTGCGGCAGACTTAGACTTGGTCATTTTATGCGTTTGATGCTAATTTTCCAAGGCGGTTTTGGCAGCGTTGGCAAGGACATTGCACTGGTGTTGGTATGGTGTTTGTCAGCCACTCCGACTACGTGTTGGTATCAGTGTGAGTGAGTGTGTGCCAGTGTGTATGTGTGTGTGTTTCGGTTTCCGTTCTGGTTTCATGGCGCCCGAGAGGGGACAGTTTTTGGGGGGAGCAGCGACGGCGGGTGTGGCTGGTGTAGCTTTGTTAATGCCAAAAACTTAAGCAGCCGTAGCGTCGTCATCGTCATGATCATGATCATCATCATTATCGTCCTGCTAGTAGTAGTAGTAGAAGTAGTAGTAGTCGACGTCCATGTCCGAAAAAGGGGGTGGTGTCTGTATGTATATGTGTTTGTGTGTGGACAGATTTATAATTGTGCGCTGTTGTTGCTGCTGCTGTTGCTCCTGT